GCTTGCTGACGTCAGAGGGAAAGTCGGTCCCGTGTTCCAGAGCTGCAAGGAGTCACAGGACTGGCCCTTTGGTCACCCCGGAGCAGCTACGACACCCGGGTGCACCGGCCTGCCATGGAGCGGAAGAGCAGCTGCTCCAGGGTGACCAAAGGGCCAGTCCTCTGACTCCTTGCAGCTCTGGAATACAGGACCGACTTTCCCTTCGACGCCACCCTGGGGCGGATTTGCCTCCCCTGGTCTTACCTTCCAGTTCCAGCTCACGTGGCTCTACTCCAGGTAAGGTTTGCGCTCGGCCGAAGGGTGGCCTTGTATTCCTGTGCAGCCTGGATTAATTGCTTGGGGTGGGGGGCTTTCTCTGCGGACCACCGAAGTTTTCTCACGGACCAGCAACGGTCCCCGGCCCACCAGTTGGCGACCACTGCATTAGAAGCTGTTTCCAAGAATTAACCGTTCCAAGCGCCAAGGGTGCTTTTTTCTCTTTTTCTTTTCCCATGAGGCAACTGGGCTTTTCTTGCAAGACGTTTCGCTCGGAAGGTCCTTGGGCGAGAAGCAAAAAAAGTCTTCCAAGAAAAGTCCAGTTGCTTCTTGAAAAGAAAACTTTGGAACCACCGTGACCTGGATGACTTGAGATTCTCCACAGCCACTATATTTTTATTTTATGGATGTTGTTAGGAATATGAGTCACCTAACAGCTATTTGGGTTAGAAATATATAAACCAGGATAAACATTTTAGTACTATATCTTTAAAGGAATGCAAGACCATGCAATTGGGTGTGGTTACTCAAACAGCCATAAGATGGAGCCAGAAACCTGGGTTGTTTCAGTCTTAGTCTCAGAAGAGAGTGTGTGTGTGAGTGTATCTCTGTTTCCTTCTGTTGGAAAGTATTGCCGTTGCTCCATTTCTTCTAATTGACTGATATTACTGGATTTAATGTAACTCTGATACTGAACTGTTTCTGACACTGGAATTTGATATTTGGATTATCCCTGGATTGAAAACTGACTGATTTACCTGTGAATGACTTTGGACTGCCTATTTTGGACTTTGCTTAAACCTTTCTGGAAGTAAAAACCTACATTTACTGTACAGTGTATCTGTGTGCTGTGTGTGTGTATTATTCAAACATTCTCTCAAATACGTCTCCCTGTATGCACTCATTCTCCTAACGGGGAATTACCTCAACTGATATGTTTTATGTTTTAGGATCATAATTTCCAATTTTCCTTTTTTTAAAAAAAAAATTGAGTGACCGAAGTTACAACGGATTGAAGCAAGTGACTTATGACGGTTTCCCCACACTTATGACCATTGCGGCGTCCCTGGACTCGTATTTATGATGGTTGCAGTGTCCTGGGGCCACGGGATCCCCTTTTGCGACCTTCTGACCAGCAACACCTCAACAGGGAAGCCGCTGAACAGCCATGTGACTCGCCGAACAACTTCAGTGATTCACTTAATGACGGCGGAAAAGAAAATTCGTGAAACAGGGACAAAAGCTCGCTTAACGACAGACCTTTCGGGCTCAATGACGGCCATACGCTGAGGGCCGCCTGTGCTCCAAAGCGACTCACCTTTGAGCCATGGGATGGTTTGGACTTCTTCGGGTCGGAGAAGGCCGAGAGAGGGATGGTAGGAAGCATGGGGTAGTCAGGACTCGGCCTGGAGACGGTTTCGGCACCTTCCGGCATGACCATCACCTGGGAAGAAACCAACCAACGGTCAGGTTCTGCTTCTCGTCAGGCAAGACTTTTAGATCGGGCCTCTCTCCAACCTTGGCAACTTCAACTCCCAGAATTCCCCAGCCGGCCAAAAGCGACCCAGAGAGTTACCTCAGAATAGTTTCTTTCGCTACTTGCGACTGGGGAGCACAGCACAAAACATGGCGGACACCCTGACACCACTAGATGACCTCGCTAGGGCTCGCTGCCTTAGAAGAGTGAGGATAATCCTCAGGGAAGACTCACACCCCGGTCAGCACTTCTTCACTCTCCTACCATTGGGTGGGAGATAGAGAAGCATAGCCAGCCATACCAGCAGGCTGAAGAACAGTTTCTACCCGTGGCTGTCAGACTCCGGAACGGAAAATACCTTCATGTCGACGTAGTAGGATAGACTTGTGGGGCCGGTGTGTTGTGCAACAAGGTCATATAGGGTAATAAGACTGGGTCTGAGTTAGGGACTTCTGTCCTCACTGTGAGTTGTGTTGGTGTGTGTGTGTGTGTGTGTGTGTGTGCGCGCGCACAGAGGGAGGCTCAGCCAATCTCATTGTACACATCTTGTACTCTGACAATAAAACTATATGATAAGATTCTTCGCCTACAGACAGAATCTTGCCAGGCTAAACCAACCGCCTCTATAACGATAGATATACTCTGTGTACTTAAAAGGGAAAACGGTTGACCAGGAATCTAAGGTTTCTCTTGAAAGTCTTGAAGGGAGCCCCTTGGGCCCATGTGACCGTTGACTCTGCAGGCCCTTCAAGGTCTTGGAAAGTTCACCCCAAGTTCCTGAGATGATGACACCCCATGTCCTTGGAGAACCTCCACAACCGCCGGTGGCTGTTTCTGCACTTCTTTATCTTAGCTAGAGTGTGTCACGCTTGCCTGGGTGCAGTGTGCCGGCGCTTCGGGAGGAAGGAGACAGAGGCAAATGTGTAAACATGTGTCCCCAAGTGTGTTCGAGGCCCGTCTTTACTCAGCTCAATCAACACGGAGAATACCTGGACTCTTTTTGTCTTTTCTGTATATCAAGACACACCTGAAACAGGTAAAATGAAATGTATCCTCTCATGGGCATTGCCCCACTTAAGGTCGGGAGAGAAGCAGCAGCAGCAGCAGAGGCCGAGAGAACGGAGGGAGGGGACGACGCTCGCCGTCCTCTGAATGGACAGGTACCCAAGCCTGCTGACTCAGACCGAGGAATGGAGGTGATGGCAAGAACGAAGACTCTTGTTCGGACCCACGCCCTTTCCCAACAAATCAAACACAAATCCAAAAGGAACAGAAACCTTGTAATGCTTTTTGCAAAATAATTAGCCGGGATAAGCACAAGCCTTGCCAAACTGTGCGAGACTCGCTAAAAGAGGACAAGAAATAATTTGCAAAATAAGAATCTTCAAATACAAACTCAGGATACTGGAATGTCCACGAGGGTGGAGTTTTCAAAATGTCTTTGCTTCCTGCAAAGTACGTTCTCTGCACAGCTGCCTTTTATCTTCTTGAAGGAGGGGCCATTACTTTGCAGCCTTACTCTTGAGTCGCCCGTGCTGTTGTAACTGATCTTTCCTCCGAGCAACCCTGCGTGCATACACACTTGGCACAGGCTCCTCGGGAACCTCCTCATCGCTGCTGCCAGCCCCCACAATCTCCCAAGGCAGCAGTCCACTCCCCAATGGTCCTGGCCCCTCATCTGAGTCCTCGCTCTCCTCAGCCGTCCGCACCTGCGGCCGGCTAACCACAACAACTCTTGAGAATACACAAGAACAAGATGAAAAGGAGGAGGAAGGAGACTGACCGGCCAGGAACGACACGGAAAGAGGACCTGACCTCCCTTTCCACTACACCTGGAGGACCCCGACTAAGCTGAGAGTTGGCCTAAATAAAAAAAACCAATACGCTCCCGTGGAAGCTCTGAGTGGATAACGGATACAAGTGAATGGGGAGAGATGCACAGCCCTGCACATCTGCCGGTATGTCGGCGACTACCAGGGAACGGAACGAGCAGAACACTTTACCGGCCAAGTGTGATTGGACCCACAAGGAATTTGTCCCAGGTGTGCACACCAACAGCAAGTTGGTCATAGTTACGAATCGTTAATCGGTAAGATACAAATGTCAACTCATAAAACATTTTGTATGGGCATTTTAGAGTTGCCAACAGAAAGGGGGGAGGAGAAGGGGTTTGAAAGAACAGTGTGACAGCTTGCAAACCGAAAGTGCATTCCATAAATGTTTTCAAAGATTGTAACTAGGTGACTGAAGTTTCTGCCGTGCAAAATTCTAACTGGAGAGCCTGATTGATGACTCTGAGCTATGGAGGTGTCCCATTGGAGGATATGAATTACGATACACCCTGAGGGGTGGAGGGAAAACCAGGGTCAAGGATGACAATGAATCATGTGTCTCAGAATCGGCTGCGCCCAGGCAGCGCCGGACATGTTAACTCCCAATAAATCCTGTTTACTTTTGGAAGTTTGGCTCGAGACTCATGATTTAATTGCTGGAATCCCGACAACAAACATGTACAGATCATGGCTTATTTTTGGCCACGACGACAAAGCCAAGAAGGTGGCTTCGTTCTGGCCGCTTAATCTTGACACGGAAGAGGGCGACTGGGTGAGGTGCAAGAGAGGGTCCGTCCCGGCTGCCTCTTTGCCCTCAGAGAAGCAGCCCTCCAGACTACATTCCACCACACAGACAAAGTGCCACCAGTGGTCCCAAAGGTGCTTTTTCCCCCTCCCCCCAAGAGGCCACTGGAATTCCCCATTTCTCTTTTGAAGATGTTTCGCTTCTGGTCCAAGAAGCTTCTTCAGCTCTGCCTGGAAGGTGGGGATTGGAAGAAAAAAATGCAACAGGGAAGTGGCAAAAAGGATGCAAACGACCAGCTTTGTCTGCCGGGAGTGTAAATCCTTCCACTCCCGGCCACCCAGTCAGAGCTGAAGAAGCTTCTTGGAGGAGAAGCGAAGTGTCTTCAAGGCAACCCAGAAGGTCCAGTTGCCCCCTTGGAAAAGCACCTTTGGGACAACCGTGACCTACCTGGGTGATGGAGAACCTCCACAGACATTTAGCCCCCAGCGGGCTTGGGGGGGGGGATTAGGTTGACCTTCTGCGCATTCTGGAGGAGTTTAGAGTGAAGGGTCCTTGGGGGGTCTCTGAGCTGGGTGGTTTCCTTGCAGACGTCTCATTACATGACTAACCAACAACTTCAGTGCTGAAGGGAGAGACAGCACTGATGATGTTACCTTGTTGGGTCATGAAACGACTGCAAGGAAACCACCCAGCTCAGAGACCCCCAAGGACCCCACAGTCCTCCTCCTCCCCTCCCTCTCCCTCTGTCTTCCTCCTCCTCCTCCTTCCTGCTACCTCACTCCCTTCTAGCACTGATGACGTTACCTAGTTGGGTCACGAAACGTCTGCGAGGAAACTGCCAATCTCAGAGACCCCCCAAGGACCCGACAGTCCCCCCCCCCTCCCCTCTTCCCTGCAAACTCCACTCCCTTCTACCACTGATGACGTTACCTAGTTGGGTCATGAAATGTCTGCAAGGAAACAACCATGGTCAGAGACCTCCAAGGACCCCACCGTCTTCCTCCTCCTCCTCCTTCCTGCTATCTCACTCCCTTCTAGCACCGAAGACGTTACCTAGTCGGGTCATGAAATGTCTGGAACAAAACTGCCAAGCTCAGAGAGCACCAAGGACCCCTCATGTCAACTCCAAGCTACAAATATTCTCATCTAATTGGAGTTTAAAGGGTTCACTCTTTATCTGCGGCTCGTCCATTTCACATTAACTTGCAACAGTTCGTTTAGGGACCATTCAAAGTTCCAACGGCGCTGGGAAAAAAAGTGACTTATGACCGTTTTTGCCCTTAATGATCATCATAGCACCCCCAGAGTCAGGTGATCCAAATTCAGGCGCTTGGCAACTGGCTCCTATTTATGACGGTTGCCGTGTCCCGGGGTCACATGATCCCCTTTTACAACCGTCTGAGAAGCAAAATCAAAGGCAAAAACTAGTTTCACTTAATGACCACGTTCTTAACTTCATAACTGCAGTGGTTCGTTTAATAACAGTGGCTAGAAAGATGGTAAAATGGGGCAAGGCTCACTTAGCGACAGACATTTTGGGCTCAGTTGCGGTCATTAAGTCAGGGACTGCCTAGCTCTAGTCCTGTGACAAAGAGCAAAAGGAACTTATGTTTTTCCCCACACCATGGGCGGGGGGGTTGGACTAGATGACCTACAAGGTCCCTTCCAACTCTGATTATCTGTTAATCTGTTAAACCTTTTCTAGCCTGATTCTTAAGTCTCCAAGAATATCAAAAAGCAAAGGGCAACCCATCACAACACTTTCCCACTCATTTCTGAGTACACTTTTCGATTTACTGTTTTTTTTTCCAATCACTTTGTTACCACCAAGGTTAACTTGGTAGTGTGTGTGAATTGTAAGAGAATTAAAATCAAGCAAATCGAACACCATAAAAATCGCCATTACGATATAATAAATAATCCTGAATGCCATCACTCTGCTAAACAAGTAATTCCCTCCACACTGTCCAACTATTTACAAAGTCTGCACTACTATTACTATTAACCTTCTCATCACTCCTTATCGCCCATCCCCTCCCACTTGGGACTGTATGACAGTAATTTTGTCGCTTCTACACTTACGATTTATATTGACTGTTTCCTTGTATGATTGCTTATTGCACCCTGTGACTATTAAGTGTTGTACCTGATGATTCTTGACTTTTGACGAATGTATGTTTTCTTTTACGTACACTGAGAGCATTTGCACCGAAGACAAATTCCTTGTGTGTCCAATCACACCTGGCCAATAAAAGAATTATGTTCTGTTCTATTTTCTATTCTATTCTAATTTCTATGCTATTCTAATTTTTATTCTATTCTCTATCCCATCCCATCCCATTCTATTAAATTCTATTCCTATATCCTTCTATTCTATTCTATCGTACCCTATGACTATTATTAAGTGTTGTACCTGATGATTCTTGACTTTTGACGAATGTATCTTTTCTTTGATGTATACTGAGAGTGTATTTGCACCAAGACAAATTCCTTGTGTGTCCAATCTCGCTTGGCCAATAAAGAATTCTATCTATTCTATGTATCTAATTGGCCTTACTCAGACTGAACCAAATTTAAAACGTCCACAGTTCCTTTAAGCCAGGGGTCTCCAACCTGGGCCACTTTTTAAGACTTGTGGATTTCAACTTAGCTGGCTGAGGAATTCTGGGAGTCGAAGTCCACAAGTCTTCAAAAGTGGCCAAGGTTGGAGACCCCTGCTTTAAGCTGTCTGGAACGGAAGCAACCCTTTCCTCTCCTGTAGGAAAAAAAGGCAAGATTTAGAATCAAAACGTGTCTCCCAGATCCCGTGGCCAGACAAAGGACACCTCTTTTGAAGATGGAAAACGCAATAAAAACACAATTTCCGTTCGCCTAGCCCCTAGGAAGGACTGCCTCCCTTAACTACTCACCCCTCCGGCTTTGATGAGCTTGTGGCGGAATTCCTTGGTGGGGTTATTGAAGGTGAGCTTCTCGCAGCGCAAATGATTAACCGGTGGGTTTCCTTCCAGGTTTAGGAAGAGGTCGTAGGTAAAGCACACTTTCTTCGGTTCCTCCTGAAAGCAGGGGAAGAAAAAGAAAAAAGAAAATATCTCAAGAGATTGCCACCGATGAACGCAGAGTCCCTGTCCTGCAATTTGGAGAGTCCTCGGCCTCCATGTCTGCGTGGCTAAAACAGCCAAGTGAGAAGAACAGGAGCATTCAAACGGGGAGGAAAGATTCACTCCAAAAACTCAAACCACATCATTGGCAAATCTTTCCGTGGCGTAAACATTAAAAGCAGGGTCGAAGTACAGGATAGGAGCATTCAGAGTTATCAACAAAATCTTGGCTAGAATATGGCAAAAAAAAAAAAAAAAAATCCTTTGTGGGCCGATTTGTACAGGAGCAGACCTGGTATCACCTTAGCTGTCACCGGTCCTCAAAAGCTTTTTTTTTTTTTTTAAATAATAATAATAATTTGCCCAAAGCATTTTGGACGTGAGCTTCGAGGTTAAGAATGTGAAGGATGGGTGTTTGTGCTTTATTTTCATAGTCGTAAATTGTACACTGAAGATGGTGTTTGATTTCATCGTAGGAGGTAAGGGGGGTAAGGGCTTATATTACGAGCATTCTGAAAAATCCATTGCTTGGGCTTCTTTTCTGGTTGTGGTTTTATTTTTGGGAAAACACGGTACTTATTAGGGTTTTAGGAAAAGACCAAAAATTTTCTATTCGTCCGTATATGGACTTGTAAGGTGAAATTGGTTCCCGGGGTTGGCCGGAAGGAAATGAAAAGCGGGGAGAAAACAGAAGGTAATGAATTTGGGGTGAGAAAGAACACAGGATCCTATCTCCTTCCAGAATGATCTGCGCACGGGGAATGAGGTGGGGGTGGGGGGTGGGGGGGTAGATCAGAGCTGGAATGCCTAAAACATATATACTCACTGGGGTCTTAGGAAAAGAGCCAGTTTTCTGTTGATCTGTATCATGCCTTGGATTTAGAGGGCCGAAAACAGGAAGGTGAAATTGTTCCAGGGCCAGAAGGAAATGAAAAGCGGGGAGAAAGGTAGAAGGAGAAGAGGAGGAGGAGGGGTGAAGAAGAGAAGGAGGAGGAAAGGAAAAGAAAGAGGAGAAGGAGGAAAGGAGGAGAAAGAGAAGAGGAAGAGGGTGAGAAGAAGAGGCGGACAAGAAAAGAAGGAGAAAGAAGAGGAGAAAGAAGAGGAGAAGGAAGGTGAGAAGAGGAGGAGGAGGGTGAGGAGGAGGAAAAGAGGAGAAAGAGAAGAGGAGAGAAGAGGATGATGATGATGATGGTACCTTATTCTTGAAGTAGACCTCAATGGGCATAATGAACCCCGCGTAGCCAGACTCCTCCACTTTGTATGGGGGCTCTTTGCAAACTGTGGGGAGAAAAAAGGAGCGTTAGAAAATCTCAACTTCACGTACTGACCGCTCAAAGTTACAATGACTCAGGGCCCTGTTCCCCACTGACCACCCTTGGGGTATCCCTGGGGTCACGTGATGCAAATTCGGGCGCTCGGCAGCTGACTCGTATTTACGACGGTCACCGTGACCCAGGGTCGGGTGGTCATCTTTTGACAAGCCAAGTCAACGGAGAAGCCCGATTCCCTTAACCACTGGCTTACTGACTTAACCACTGCAATGCTTCGCTTAGCAACCGTGGCAGGCCAGGTCCTAAAATGGGACAAAGCTCAATGACCCCCAAAGAGCAACCGAAATGTCAGGCTCAACTGGAACCTCGTCCCTCCGGAGATTAGACTCTGACCTTATTTCGGAAGGCTCCGAAGACGCAGTTCTCTGCCAGCGGGCCTGGGGAACCCCCAGCGGGATGGAGCCCATGAAATGGCTGGCACAAAAGCACGTTGTGTGTGTGTGTGTGTGTGTGTGTGTGTGTGTGTAGGGTTATTATTTTATTTTTATTTTTCTGTTTATTTCTTTTATATGGTGCTTTTATGTCGCCATGAGTGAGTAGGCGGAAATATAAATTTTCTAAATCAATCAATCAACCACCCAACCAAATTCCTTGTGTGTCCAATCACACTTGGCCAATAAAGAATTCTGTTCCGTTCTCTCTTCTCTTCTCCTCTCTTCTTTTCCCTCCTCTCCCCATTTTCTTTTCTCTTCTCTTCCTTCTTCTCTTCTCTTCTCTTCCCTCCTCTCCTCTTCCCTTCTCTCCATTCCATTCAAGGCCCACCCCCGGGGCGTCTGAAACTATCAAAGGAATGCCTGGGAGGATGTTTAAAACTCCCTCCCTCAACAACAGTGGGAACCACACAGAGGGACGTGATGCGAGGACCTGGGGGGGGGGAGGGGAGACAGAAGCTGCACCCCACAATTCCTGCCACCCATCTAGCCGAAATCTCCTCCTCTCGTTCCCCCTCCCCCCCCAGGCAATTCCTCCCGGTTGCTATTCAATTTCAGCCATGTGCCGGCACAGCTTACAGGCCGTCCTCAACCTACAACGGTTCTTCCAGCGGCTGGCCGAGGTCCTGATGGTGCTGGTGGTTTTGGCAGGGCTTTGGAGTTCCCAGCAATTCTGGCACCCCCCCCCCCCTGGGGATGGGGGGGGGGGTGGGGGGTCACCTGATTGCAAGCTGGATGCTTGTTAACCGGTTTGTAGCCCTGACCGGCTGCAGCGCCTTTGCGATCAAGCGATTAGCCACTGGCAACCTTCCCCGCGGGCCTCCCCAGAAAGCCAATGGGGAAGCCTGCAGGAAACGCCACACGGGTCGTTCTCTCCCACCCGTCCGCCCCAGTCCCTCTGTGCCGGTGTCCCGCTGCCCACTCACACACATTGGCACTCCCCCTTCCTAAACTGTACCCCTCACACACACACCTTTTCCCCGACCCACACCTCTTGTTACACCCCTTTGTAGCGTCTGGAAGCAGGCCTTTCACTCACCACCTGGGGCACCTTCTCCAATCACAGCCTCTGCACCATCTCTAACCCGGGTCCCCTCTTGCTGATCCACACAAACCTCCCAGCCTTGTCTCTTGGGCAGCCCCTCCTACCCCCAGGTCCCCTCCCTGACCTGAGCTGCGTCTCTCTTGCACCTTCCCAACCTGTCGGAACCTATCCTGGCATCCCTCCATCATCCAGGCACAACCAAGGAAGCTTCTTGGATGAGAAGCAACATTTTTCCTTCTTTTTCTTCCTCAAGTGGGGGGGAAAAAACAACAACAGTCCGGCTGCCTTTTGAAAACACCCCTTTGAGATACCTGGCACCTTCCTGCTGGCTTCTCCGCTGACTTTGGCAGCTCACCTAACCACCCTGGGGTTCAGTCAACAATGGCAACCGGGGCCACAAGGACAGCCGCCGCTAAGTGATACGGTTGTGCTTTACAAAAGCATCCCTTAGCAATGAAATTCCCGCCCCAGTGGCTATGGTAAGTCAAGGTATGAAGTGTTCAATTTCAAAATTTCAGGATCCCAGGCTTCTAAATGACCCAGTGTTTTGTTGGGGAGGGTGGCTGGCGCAAAAGAGAAACCCCGCCAGAGACGTAAAACAGGAGTGTCGGATACCAGCGTTGGGCTGCTTCCCACCAAGAGCCAGAGAGGAACCTGGAACCTGGCCGTGAGAACAATTAACCAGGGGAACGTCTTGCCGACATCGGGTGTTTTTAAGACGAAGACTGGACAGTCACTTGTCTGAAGTGACATATAGGGCTTCCTGCCTGAGGAGGGGGGTTGGACTAGAAGACCTCCAAGGTCCCTTCCGACTCCGTGATTCTAATTTTTCAAAGCAGTTTCCTTGACAGGACATTCCGGCTTGCATCCTTGGGTGGGTGGGTGGGTGGGTGTCATTTGGGCCCTTCCAATGGAGGACGTGTGCAGGTAGTCCTAGCCTTACGACGGTTCATTTATGGACCACTCAAAGTTCCAACAGACCCTGGAAAAAGGGACTTAGGGTCGCTTTTCACACTTACGACCGCTGCAGGCTTCCCATGGCCATACAATTCAGATCCTTGGCAAGTGCTTTGTATTGATGACAGTTGCAGCGTCTGGGTGTGTGTGTGTGTGTGTGTGTGTGTGTGTGTGTGTGTCACAGGAGTGGCCAATGGATCGGTGCTGCCATTCTTAACCGAATCCCGTGTGCAAGCAAAGTCCACGGGGAAGTCAAAGTTCGTTTAACGACGATGTTATTAACTGAACAGCGGCAACGATTCCCTTAATAAATGTAGCAAGGAAGGTCAGACAATGGGGCAAAACTCACTTAAAAGAAGTTTCACTTAGCAACGTACGTTTTGGGCTCAACTGGGGTCGTAAGCCGAGGGCTGCTTATATTTGGTTAGAACATTATAGGAGCCTGAAAACCAAGGCAAGGGAGTCGACTTCCCTGCATGTCGAAATCTAGCATTTCAGGGAGAACTCAGGCTGCTTCTGGGAGCTACAAATCCTTGAGGTTTTTTTTTTTCTCAATTGGGAGAACCAACTTCCTAAATAAGTTCCTAACAGATACTCTTAACAGAATAGCAGAGTCGGAAGGGACCTTGTGGGTCATCTAGTCCAACCCGCTCACCCAAGCAGGAGACCCTATGCCATTTAAGACAGAGGGCAGCCCAATCTCTTCTTCAAAGCCTCCAGGGATGAAGCTCCCACAACATGTACCTTTCTCTTTCTTTTTTCTTTACCTACCTACCAACCAACCAACCGATTTAACAGAGTCGGAAGGGATCTTGTAGGTCATCTAGTCCAACCCCCTGCCCAAGCAGGAGACCCTACGCCATTTCTGACAGCTGGCAGTCTAGTCTCTTCTTGAAAGCCTCCACGGATGATGAAACTCCTACAACTTCTGAAGGCAACTCCTGTTCCATGGGTTGATTGCTCTCACGGTCAGAAGTCTTTCTCCTGACTTCCAGGTTGCCCCTTGGGACATGCCCTGCATGCTTGCCCACTCACCACGTTTCGGTTTCGGGAAGCTCTGATGGAGACGGAAGACCACCCTCTCCACGAAGTGCTGAATCTCAAACTGCTCCGGGCCTCGTACAAACACCATCCAGTCGTGGGTGAACCCCTCAGTGGTGGGCTTCTTGCGCAGCTGGGCACGGTGTCCGAGCTCCAACTTCACCTGGACTGTACACTAGGAAGGGGAGGGGAAGGGCAAAGGAAGAGAGGGAGGGAGGGAAAAACACCTTGATTGTTAGAACTAGCTGGAGAAAAACAATGGTGTCTTCCTAAGGAAAAAGAAAGTTATACCAATTGTTTAGAGTTCAGGAAAGAAACAATTTAATTCCTTTGTTTAAAACCAGCTTTTCCCATGGAGTTAGGACCTAGCAGTCAGCATCTGCGCCCCACTCAACTATTGGAAACATAAAAGCATACCGCACATTCATTTCTCACGCACAAACTACAGATCAAGCTTCAAGCCAACGGCTCCATCCAGATGAGAGATCCAATGTCTGTAGGTTACCCTCTCCCAACTGTGAATGAGGACTTAGCATAGAAAGAAAGGGTGATATTTACAAACTTTACACAACACACACACACACACACACACCTGCTTTGGAGGCAAAGGTGTTCTTTGGATTATCTTAGCTGTTCCAGCAGAAAGGGGGTGAAAAAATAGACTGGTTGAAACCAGGCTCAATGGCAGGAACTGGGAGAGGGATCTTGGAGTCTTGGTGGACAACCAGCTAAATAGGAGCCAGCCGTGTGCAGCAGCAGCAGCCAAAAAAGCCAATGCAATCCCAGGTTACATTAACAGAGGGATACAATCGAGATCAAGTGAGGTACTCATACTACTCTATAAAGCCTTAGTAAGGCTACACCTAGAGTAATGCATCCAGTTTTGGTCACATTATAAAAAAGAATTTGAGACTCTAGAAAGAGTGCAGAGAAGAGCAACCAGGATGATGAGGGGATTGGAGGCTGAAACATACGATGAATGGTTGCAGGAACTGGGCCTGACTAGTCTAGGGAAGAGAAGGACCAGGGGAGACAGGAGAGCAGTGATCCAATATTTGAAGGGAAAGGGAGAGAAAGAAAAGGAAAGAACAAGAGGAAGGAAGGGAGGGAGGGAGGGAGGGAGGGAGGGAGGAAGGA